CGGCGGGACACGCGGCCCAGCGACACCCGGGGACCTGGGGACAAGGCCCCGAGCAGGGACAAGCGCCCCAAACACGGGGACAGGGGGACACGGCCCAGCGACACCCGGGGACCTGGGGACAAGGCCCCGAGCAGGGACAAGCGCCCCAAAGACACGGGGACAGCACCCCGATGAGCCAGGGACAGGGCCCCAGTGACCCGGAGACAGCGCCCCAAAGACCCGGGGACAAGGCTGAGCAGGGACAGTGCCCCAAAGACCCGGGGAAAAGGCCCCAAAGACCCGGGGACAAGGCCCTGAGCAAGGACAGCGCCCAAAGGTGCGGGGACAGCGCCCCAATGACCGGGGGACAGCACCCCAGTGAGCTGGGGACAAGGCCCCGAGCAGGGGCAGCGCCCCAAAGACCCGGGGCCAGCACCTTAATGACCCGGGGACAAGGCCCCAAAGGCCTGGGGCCGAGGCTGAGCAGGGACAGCGCCCCAGTGAACCGGGGACAAGGCCCCGAGCGGGGACAGCACCCCAAAGACCTGGGGACAAGGCCCCAGTGACCCAGTTCAGCATTCCAGTGACCCAGGGACAGCGCCCCAGCCTAGGGACAGCGCCCGACCACGGACAGCACCCGGTGACCCGGGACGGTGACCCGGTGCGGGACAGCACCCTGGTCAGGGACGGTGCTCCAGTGTCCTGGGGACAGTACCTGGTGACACTTGAGCACTGGCCTGCTGGGAACTGGCCCCCCAGGCAGGCTCCGTGCCCCAACAACCAGGGGACAGCGTCCCACCAGGGACAGTGTCCCACCAGGGACAGCACCCCGACACTGGGACAGGGCCCCGACCACGGACAGCGCCCCAAGGGCCCCTTGGCAACACCTTATAGACCTGGGGACACCGCCCCAGGGACCCCAGGACAGCACCCCGTGGACTTGGGGACAGTGTCCCGACACAGGGACAGGTCCCCAAGTGGGGACAGTGCCCCAACACCGCAGGGACTGCATCCCAACCCGGGGACAGAGCCCAACAAGGGGATGGCACCCCGATGAGGGGATGGCACCCCAATGTGGCGATGGCACCCAGACATGGGGATGGCACCCCGCCCAGCTCCCCGCCGCACCAGGGACGCAGCCCACCCCTTGCGGCCGCCCCCCCCCGACCC